CCTCTCTCTCTCTCTCTCTCTCTCTCTCTCTCTCTCTCTCTCTCTCTCTCTCTCTCTCTCTTCGTCGAATACTTACACCAAGACCCTTCGCGTATGTCGCGTTTTCCTTCCCCTTACCTTACAGTTACGGGAGAGCGACGTGTATCTAAGCGCAACCACCCGTATAATTGTTGGGGGCGAGCAGGGACGACGATGCGACGAGACGGGCGTCGTTAAGAAAGAGAGGCGCTGAAGAGAGTCGGAGGAGAGCTGGTAGGTTCGAGGTTGAAGGGCGAGCGAAGGGATAAGGAGGGTGGAAACGGCTGACGAAGTTCACCGTAGTATCGAGCGTGAGAGAAGGGCCGCCTTGAATTAACGCCGTCATATTTCAGGATGGAGAAGCTCGCCGGGGTTTTCTTGCTATTTGTCTCAAGACTCACCTACTCCGTCTACCACCGAGCGGAACCGTCGCAGCTCGTTGTTCTCTTCGTTGCGTTCGTGACTAATAACCCGTGGCGTGCAAACATTCACGAAATCTGGCAAGAAACGCTACGCATTGCTGTGCCTTCCCTCCGTTTCCTTCTCCGTTTATTCTCAATGTACGAGTTAAAGACAAAATCTGGGAACGGAGGGTAGCAGTATGTACATCATAAAAAAAATTATCTCTTTAAAATATTGGTTATGCTAAAAATAGAAAGGAAATATCGAAAAATATATATAATCGATATCTCTGTCTATTAAAGGACCCCGCACTAATTATACGAAAAATTAAGTCCCGTTGAAATGAATCGGCTTTCATATACAATATAATGTAACTTGCAAGGAACAAAAGAGATGTTCAACAAGGTATTCAATAATGGATAGTTTTTGAACTATGGTATATTAGAGGTGTAAATCAACTGTGTTCACAGAGCATCTTTGATGCACCATAATTCGAAAATCATCCATATTGAGCCTTGTGTCTACATCACTTTTCTTCATCACACTATAAGCTACATTATGTATGAAAATGAACTCGATCGTTTAACCGGGACACAAATTTCCTTATAATTGCGAGGTCCTTTCCCAAATAACATTCTACACATTATAATTAGATACATTTTCCTCGCAATTTTTCGACCCATTTTTCTGTTTTTCTGTTTTGCAGGTCTGGTTCAAGAACAGGCGGGCGAAATGGCGGAAGAAGGAGCGTAACGCGATGAACGCCGCCGCGCAGGCCGCAGCGGATTTCAAGTCGGGCTTCAGTACAGCCAGCCTGAACGGCTTCATCACCCAACCGTTCCCGGATCCCGACACTCTCTACAGCTCGTACAGCACGTACAACAACTGGGCGGCCAAAGTACCATCGCCGTTGAGCGGCAAGAGCTTCCCCTGGATGAACACTCTGGGCTCGGTTGTGCCTGCGGCGTCGCATCATCATCATCACGCTCAGGTCAGCCCAGTGAATCCCTTTAACGCCGCAGCGACGTCGGTCGCAGGCAGCCACGTGGGCGGCATGTCAGTTTCGGTCGGTCAGGCGGCCACGTCCATGTTACCGGGCATGGGTTCTGGTCTCGGCGTCGCGAGCTCGCCGGTCGCCGCGTCCGGCGCGGCGTGTCCGTACGCGGCGCCGGCGGCACCGCATCATCCGTATGGACCGCCGGTTTACACGCCTCACCATCGATCGCCCGAATCCTGTACGGTGATGACATCGAGTAGCATCGCGTCGCTACGTATGAAGGCGAAACAGCATAGCAGTGGTTATGGCGGCGGTGGTGGCGGCTCGTTCGGCGCAGGCGGTACCACAGGCGGTACCACAGCCGGAAGTATAAGTCCCGTAAGTTCGAGAGCGTCTTCCGTCGGCGGTGGCGGTGGCGGCGGTGGTTTGAGCGCCTGTCAGTACGCGTTAACAACAGCGGCCGGAGCGAACCCTCATTCCCCGGGCGGTCCCGAGGCGCACGCTAACGCCACCGCCAGGGCCCAGGTCTGAGGCGACGCGGGGGCTACGTCTAGCCCCCATCATCACAACGTAACGAATCCGAATTCTGGAGGTTCCCTCAGCGGCGGCAGCAATCAAGTGGTGCCTCCGTCCGCCACTGCGGCGGCGGCCGCCGGTACAGGTCAGCCGAGCGACAATCAGCTCAGATCGCAAGAGTGACCCAGGCCTAGGTCCGCCGCCTCGCCGACGTTATCGTCGACGCCCTCGTCGACGACCTCGCATCCGCATTATCTTATGTACGACGAGGACGGGGCTGCGGCGGACCAAAAGATGGAAGTGGACGAGCGAGGTGTTATCGAGGCGAGTAGCATGGTGAATCCTGAACAAGTGGTGGCAGCTACTGCCGGTGGTATTGGCGTGGGAGTCGGTGTAGGGGGACCAGGTACGGCAACTGGAACTGGTACCGGACTGACTGGTTATTGGCAACACGCGACTACCGCCACCGGCTACTGGCCATCGTTGTTCGACTGTTGGACGACGCCACCGATCGCATCTGGCTCACAGACGCTGTCTTTGCCGCGGGATGACGATTGAGGCCAGTAGAATTTTATCGACTACTCATGCGTTCGCGCTGTCCAGCTTCTCTCAATTTGTCGCGAAATCTCGTTTTCTTTCGTTAAACATCGAATGTTTGATTTAAACGGAAATGATGACTCAGAGATATCACATTTATATTTCCGCCGAAAAAACGATTTCGCAAATACGATTTCGTTGTAGTTAATTAACAATGTACAGTAATGACTTCTTCACATGCCTTTATAAAATTCATAAGTATCGAATGCGAAGTCACTTATCGAATGTATTAATTGTAATACTTGATTGAAATTCAACGATGCGATGTGCAAATTTCGTCACAGAATTGCAAATATTTTATTTGCGAATCTTAAATTTCTCTGACAGCTTCAATAGTTCTTCAATTTCGAGATCTTCGCGAAAATTGAGGGTAAAGTAAAAGGGTAAAGAACCAGGTGTGTCTATCACGATAGAAGAATTGACAAAACATACAGTTGCAAATATTTCGTTACGTTGTAAATACAAGTATTATGCGAGTAATCGGCTACGTTGGATGCGATCGGCAAACTACAACAAGTTCGGCTAGTCGATGAACTCACATATTCCTCAAGACAGATAAAAGTTAATGGAGTACAAATGTTAAACTTCCGCCGCGATGAAAAGTATATTTAATCCCCCTTCCTTATTTTCATTTTAGTACCTTTAATTAAACACGATATATTTATTATTCGAATACGATGCTAAATATACACTGCGATAAAGCAACAAAATAGTATAACGCTGAAAAAAAAAAAAACGAGAAGATGCTTTCCCTAAAAGAATCATATGGCGTAAACAATGCTAATTGTATGCTGCATGCTTTAATAATTTTTTTTTCATGTGCAAAATGTGAGGGACGGGGATTAATTTTTAAGAACAACGGCGCTAACAAAGATCTCTCGCGGATCACGTACTCACTATTTTGTAGATATATGTATAGTAGAACGCCCCGGCTCTTTATGCCGAGCGTAACTGTATACCAAAAAATTGTTACATTGTAATGACGATAATAACGATTATTCAGCAGAATACTAAAATATTATAGGCTGTAAGTAAGCGGATTGTGCGTTGTACAGTGTATGGAGCAAGGAGCATCCTATCGATTAGGCATACGTTATAAACTCTGAATTAGTATTGTCGAATAATTAACTAAAACAATATTCACAGTATCCTCGCGCGGCGCGTGCAATTGGATTTTTCAAGTCCGTCGATTCCTC